ATCAGAAGCGTGGCACACACACCCTGCCCTCAACACATAACAGACAGTCAGTCACAAAATTATAGGCCTATAGCTTATCAATAGACATGTGAGACTCAAGTGAGACCCCATGTAAGAATTTTTTTATCTGATTACCGGAGATTGCATAGTAAAGCGAATGAGTGAAAGCAATTGGGACATTGTTTTATTTGTATCATTTTTACTCTTAATCTGGTGTCGTGCATACCAAATTATTAAAAATATTTTGCAGGAAACAGAAATCCGATCGGTTATCCAGATAAAGAGGCTACTTAATGTGAACAAATATAAACGCACCATGTCCTGACCTTCTTATTGAAGCAGGCCCGTGTACTCGTTCAGCGCAGAGATGTGTGTGTGTTTGCGCGCGTCCCGCTGACTCTGTTCCAGTTCCAGAACAATGATCGCGTCATCACCGCGGGTCCGAGCGGCTCGAGCGGTGAAGCTGCTGAGACATCAAACAAACCCGGGTCACTCCTGGAGCAAATACATGCGTTTGGGTGTCCTACCAGTGGGATGCATGAGGAAAAACAAGTTGGCATGCCGTTTACAGCTGTGTCGCCTGCAGCGATCCTCCAATAGAGGAAGTTTCGGTCATATTGTGCGTTATGAGACGTCCGCAGATGGGACGCACCTGTCACTTAACCCTCCCATCGCAATGGGCAAATGTTTCCCATTCTTGTCTGTTCCCGATTTGACGAGCCAAATAGCCTACTACTCACTTTATCTCAGTAACCCCCTATCAGGCAGAGTTATTTTAGAATGCTTCATATACACTCTAAAAAATGCTGGGTTGTTTTAACCCAACTTTGGGTCAAATATGGACTAACCCAGCCGTTGGGTTAAATTTTTACATTACATTTTTAACCCAACATTTCGGGTTTGTCCATATTTGACCCAAAATTGGGTTAAAACAACCCAGCATTTTTTAGAGTGTAGGCCAAGCCTACTATTAGCCTATAGTTTTTATTATTTTTAATAAAACGTTTTTATGGTTTTTGTTTTAGTTAAATAATGGCAAGTATGTAATTGAGTATTTGCAGTCGAGCCTCTTTGAGATAAAATATTTACTTGAGGTCCTTCTGAGATTTTAAGTTAATATTTCAATAATTTAACAACACATTAACATGCTTTTTTGATGGTCAATGTGGTCATCAAACCAATGTTTTGTAATCACAACATTTTTTCTTTTGTCAAATCAACTTAGATAATTGATGTAGTTCAGAAAACATAATATGTTTAGTTTCTGATGATTGAATCAATCTTCTTCATTGTATTAACTAAATTTTTCCATTTCAATTAACTTAAAATTTTAAGGCAACCAGGTTACTTATTTTTTTAAGTTAAACCAACAACATTTTTTTACAGTCCATGACATGCAGTTAAACATAAAATATTGCATCTTTTTAATACTATTTAATATCTTGATTAGGCTTTATTTTTAAATGATTTTTTTCATTTTAATTATGATTTAATTAATTATTAGCTTCATAAGCCCCAGTGTGGGAATCCCATGTTATCATTTGGTTTTGCACGATGCTGCATCCACAAAAGTCAAACTTGTTTAAAGAGGCATTTAAAAATGAATGCCTGATTTATACATCTCACATGGCCGGCATATTGTTCACTGCATACGCTGATTGTGTTAAACAGGCTTTTTCTAATGTAATCAAGGTCACGCACCTGTGAAAATACAAAACGCCAAATGTTGAGCACAACATCTCTCTCACTGAAAAAAAAATATATTTTCATGTTTTGTAATCACATCATTTTTTTCTTTTGTCAAATCAACTTAGATAATTGATGTAGTTCAGATAACATAATATTTTTAGTTTCTGATGATTAAATCAATCTCCTTCATTGTATTAACTAAATTTTTTAATTTCAATGAACTTAAAATTTTAAGGCGACCAGGTTACTTATTTTTAAGTTAAACCAACAACATTTTTTTTTTTTTTTTTTTTTACAGTGACATGACGTACACAACTATTGTGAATTAGTTGATTTAAAGGACGGGCCAGCTATAGCCTGAAGATGTTTCACAGCAGGGTTTGCATTCTCCGTCTTGTTAAAGGTAAATGAAGTTTGAGGTGTGTTTGACCCAATTGTCATCCTGAGATCATGACACATGGATGATTGTATTTTTGCAATCATTATTGTTAAATGTTTTACTTTGATTAAAATTATTTACTTTAATTTAGATAGATCAACAGAATCCGGAATGCATGTTTGTGTAAGTGTTTTATTTAAGAATATTTATTTTTTGAATTTTACATTTTTATTAATAGAACAGACTGCAGAATGAAACTTTTTTTTTACAATGCAAAACGTCTATTTAATCTGACTAACAAGCCCACTAGAGACACATTTTTCAAAAAAAAAAAAAAATCTATCGTGATCAGTCCAGTTTTATTATTCTTCAGAGCATTTGATTGGACAAAAGTTGTTCAGGATGATGTAATAAATATTTATGCAAGTGGAAAGTTTTCAAGAAGAGGACTGAAACACCTTCAAAGCCTTGATTTATTATTGTCTTAACGGCTCTTTTACAAACTCTGCAATAAAAATACGATAATGAATGTTGGAGGAGGTGACACACTTTGATAAAACATTCACCTGAATTATGCAGATAAACTCAGCCAGTGAAACTTTCCGTCCCTCCCTCCGGCTTCACCAGTAAACTCCCACTTTACACTCTTGAGTTTGACTTCACATTTGCACACCGGACTTTGAATTATTCCCAGACTCCGTCGTTCTCTGGGGATTTGTGTGTTTGCAGAGTGCAGTGTGTGACTGATCTCCTTCTGTGCAAGTTGACAGTGTTGAAGGACATTATCATCATCATAAGCATGATGGAAGCCCGTCCGTCCTGGGACAGTCCTATGCAGTTTGTCCTGGCGTGTGTGTCTTATGCAGTGGGACTTGGGAATGTGTGGCGTTTTCCGTATCTCTGCCAAATGCATGGAGGAGGTGAGATAATGAGTTCGACTCTTTCTCCTCGTGCTTGCCGTGTAGATTGTTTAGTTCTTGACAGAGACATTGATAAAACAAGAGCTTTTAATATAATTTAAGATGCGAAAATTAATAGATTATTTGGGCTTTATAAATCTTAGAAATATCAAAACAACTCTACTTTGTTCAAAAGTTTATCTGTATGTATGAAGAGTTTTTCCTGGATGATTATGTATTTTACAGTGTAGTCATCTTGATCCTCCATGATGATGCACATGTGGGAAAACAAGATCTTCAATAAAAGTTTAATCCTTTCAATAACTTCTTTAAAAAGGTCTGAACATTTGGACATGAAATGAAGATGTTATTTTGGTCCATATTAACTGCAATGTATAAGATGACATGATGTATGATCAAATATGATGTCAGTCATCTTATGCCTTTAATGCTATGAACAAAAAATAACATGGCGATGTCTTGAGCTCATTTGTGTTTAATAGGACTGAATCCAAATGAATATATTACATTAATAAAAGTTTTTTCACACGCAGACCTGGTAGAAACAGTTAAAAAAAAAAGCCAATATTTACTTTTTACACTGTGGCTGTTACTACAGTATATTAATTATTAATTATAATTATACTACTATTAACTAATAGCAATTACTTTGATTTTTCTCATCTTAGTGTGTGTGTGTGTGTGAGAGAGAGAGATTGCAGTAATCTCAGATGTACAAGAGTGTGTGTTTGTGTGAGAAAGAGAAAAATAGAGAGATTATGTTGAGCAATCTTAGATGTACAAGTGTGTGTGTGTGTGTGTGAAGTGTGAAAGAGAGAGATCATGCAGGTATTTTTGATTTGAAAATGTTCTTTGAATGAAATTGCAGTAGATAAGTGTTAGATTAGTGAAGTATTAGATATTTCTCTCTTGTTTACTGTCTCTTCAAGTGCACTCGTTTGTAGAGAATTCAGAGTTTTATCGGCCGTGAACTTCATTGAGCATCTCATCCAGATTCTCAGCACATATCAGTTGTTCTACACTCAAAGCTAGTGTTGTAATTCTCTGTGGAGTGGAAAGTCAAAGTGAGATTCCTGTTTTCCTTGATTCATCTGGCAGAAACTGATTAGCATTTCTCCTCCGTTTCATTCGTCTGCTAAACGTCTCTGGTTATGCATTCAGTGCATCTTTGAGGAGCATCTCCTGAATAACAATTCACAAATCCTTTGTTTACCGTTTAGCAATGCGATCAAAGTACACGCGTGAGGGAAGTTATGCGCAGTCAGTCTCTGCTGATTTATATGATGTGGTCAAATATTCCAAAATTCCCTCATTATCCAGAGTAATCCTGTTTTCCTGTGAGGATTACAGAGAGTTAGACTGCTCACATTTACACTGGACAAATAACATGTACCTAACATGATTTTCAGTAAATGAAATGTTCTTCATAATTGCATCTGGAATTTGCATATTTTTAAATTATTTCAAATTTCATATTATGAAAGTAATTTCCAAATGGTGATTTTTTTTAAATAATAACAAACTTTTTAATCTATGCATATTCCTGACATGTGCACTGTAAAATCCAATTAGTACAGCTTACTTGAAAAAAGCAAGCAAACCGATTGTAAACTGAGTAAAGTGAAATAGGAATAATATGTAGTACTAACGAGTGCATGTCTGGATGTGTACACTTACGAGAGAGTTCATATAACTTAAAATAATTTGTATACTATACTTGATCTTTTACTTTTTTATGCTAGTTGTGTGAGAGTGAAGGAGCGTTAGTTCCCCCAAAAGGAGTTCCCATGCTCCTTAAATCTCTAACGTTATATAAACTGATTTGTAAAAGGGAATTATACAAATTGATGAAAAAGTCCTTGAAATTCTCCGGTAAAAAAATGCATGAAATCAATCCAGTGTTATTTTTATATCACTAATATGCTATTAGAGTTTTTCCTAAATAGGCCTACAAGGGTTTCCTTTGTCCAGAAGCTATTACCGTACATTGGCCGGGAAAAAATGTAATGTCCGACAACATTAAATCATAGGAATTCAATTCATAGGAAATGAATGGGAAATTGACAAAAACACCAAAATTCACCTTTTTTTATTTTATTATTTTTACTTTTTTTTAAATAAAAAAATAGTTTTTGAGATTGTTTCAACTATATATTCAAATACACCAAAAAAAAAAATGTGTTCATAAACATCTGGGGAATTCACATGCTTCTCCAAAGAGAGCTGCACTTGCCATCTAGTGGTTACCCCATGATTCTATGCTTATACTGTAACCAGATGGTGCTAATTTTCTTCAAAAAATATTTTTTTTCTGAAGGCCTAGACTCTATATTAAACTGAAATACTGCATTAATATTTTTTGAAAAAAATTATATATATATATATATATATATATATATATATATATATATATATATATATATTCCATGGCAAAAATAGACCATAAATATTGCATAAATATTAATAAATTCAATCAAATTGTCTCAAAATACTAAATTACAAAGAATAAATATTATAGAACAAAAATAAATTGCATTGGTTTTACTGGGATGGAGGAAATTTAATTTTTAGGTGTCCGGTCTTTTGACCGGGAAGATAACAAGTTTGACTCCGAAACGAAGAGCACCTTAGGGTTAAATTGACAAACATCATATGTGTAATTCAGGGCACAATTCAAACGAGATCAAAATATTTGTTGTCTCTCGCCATTGACTACCATAGCCTATTTGGTTAGAACCATGTCGTACAATTCCAATTCATCTATCCATGTCAATTGTCTCTTAATCCTTAGTAAAATGTAAATACTTTGACTATATACATACTATTGTGTAATAATGTGTATTCCCATTAGAAGTTTTTTTTTTTGTTGGTTTGTTTTTTGTTTTTGTTTTTTACTAACAATGCTGCAGAGCCATGGACATCTGGTAACAATGTTACTGACTGTTTCTCTCTTTGATCATGATTTTTGGTCATGGCACTGATACATTGTATGAAATACCAGTCTTCAATAAACCGTCAGTTTTGATTTTTTTTAATGGTTTTAGTTTTAGATAAGTTTTAGTCCTTCACATGAAGCCACACAATGATGAAAATTAAATAGGTGTTGATAAACAGAGATAGTGATCTCTAGAAGGCTACTGGTCTCTCTCTCTCTCTCTCTCTCTCTCTCTTTCTCACACTCACACACACTAGAATATGTTGCACACACACACTTGTACATCTGAGATTGCTCAACGCAATCTCTCCCTTTTTCTCTCTCTCACACACCATGAAATCAAAGTTCTTATTGTTTTATGAAATATTGTCATATTTATTCTCAATAATTTATCCATGCACATCACATTTTTTATACATGTACCCTCGTGATCTCTAATCAAAATAACTTCTCCCTCTTGCAGCAACATCTCTTCTCTGATGATGTGTGTTTGCTGGCGTGAGGGCGGGGCAACCTGTCAATCACATGAGATCCACCAATAGCAAACCACAACCATCCAATCAATTCACCAATATCATTTTTTCTTGTTCCAAAAGCCACTTGACTTAAATATAAGTCACAATATTAGGGAAGGAAAGACCATCGCAACGTCTCTTTTATGCTGACTTTAAAGTGACCTCTGTGTTGTGTCCCTCAGGTGGGTTTCTGATCCCGTATCTGCTGATGCTGGTGCTGGAGGGGATTCCTCTGTTCTGCATGGAGCTGGCCATCGGGCAGAAGATGCGTCTGGGGAGCATCGGAGCGTGGACCGCCATCAGCCCGTATCTGGGTGGACTGGGTCAGTGTCCCGTGCTTCATTTACCAAACATTTAATGTCATAACATGATCAGAAATCATCCTTTATCATCCTCATGTGTGTATGCTTTGTTCAGGCATTGCCAGTGTTGTGACTTCCATGTACTTGTGTCTGTACTACAACGTCATCAACGCATGGAGCTTCTGGTATCTCTTCCATTCATTTCAGGTTAGTGTACTGAAAAATACATGTAGATGTTTCTATGAACAGAATGTTTCTTATGTGCTAATCAATTGTCCCAATGCAATGCTGATATAAAGAGATGAGGATATGGCAAGCCGTTTTAACTTTTATTCATTTCCAGAATATGAATTCTTGATATCAACAATTACATTTTGTTATATCAACAATTTAATTGCTTATATCTGTAATTGTATTTTCACTAGTGAAATTTCACCATAGATTGCCATTCAAAATAAATAGTTGATATCAAGAATTGATTTTTTTACTGGTAGAAATATCATTATTGATATGAATAATTACATTGATAGTAGTAAAAATGTGAATTACTGATATCATTAATTAAATTCTCACTAGTTGAAATGTCTATTCTTGATATCAGCAATTCAATTGGTAGTTAAAATAATCATTTTTGATATCTGAAAATGTATTTCTGATATCAATATTATTTCTGATATCTAAAATGGCTTTCTTACCAATCACATTTATGATATCAGAAATTAACATTGTCACTAGTAACAATTCAATTGTGGATATCAAGAATAGACATTTCAACTAGTAACAATTGAATTCTTGATATCAAAAATGAGTTGTATAAAAAAATATTTAACTTATTATAATTAAATTTCTGATATGTGAAATTGGAATTTCAACTAGTAAGAAATCAATTCTTGATATCAACAATTGGCCTATGGTGACATTTCACTATAGTGAAAATACAATTGTTGATATCAAGAATTCATATCCGGGAAATGAATAAAAGTTCAAACGTCTTGCCATATGAGGAAGGCCCAAAACCAACATTTTATGCTAATTCTGCAGAATGTGTTATTCACTGTAAAATGTGGATTTTCTTCCTCGGTTTTGTCTGGTTTTCCAGTAGAATCTTATAAGATACATTTATTTGAGATGCAAAATAACATGTGTTTTGGGAGAAATGTATTCAAATTAAATGATTGTTTATGCTTAAAACAAGGAAAATATTAAGTTAACTAAACGTTTATGTTTAAAACTAAATAAAAAAAATCAGGGCTCAGAAAAAAAAAACTTCCTCTAAAATAAGTCGATTTTTCTTTTTTAAAACCATGGGCAGATATTTTTTCTCGTTTTAAACTTAAAACTTTATCAAAACAAGCCTGTTATTTTGAATATTTGTACTGGAAAACAAGACTTTTTGATGTGTCAACCAAATCAAACTTTTTTATTAACTCAGAAAATGACTAAATAATCTAAAATCTTAAAATCTATTTAGTGTTGAAGAGTAAAACTAAAATGAGAACTTTTTCTTAGTAGCTCGTATTTCATTTCTGAAAAGAATTGCGCTTGATGTGATGAGTATGATGCTGTAGTTTAGGAAGTAATTGTCCTGGATCTGTGGATCATGTGTGTTAATGCGTCTGCAGTCAGTGCTGCCCTGGGCCGAGTGTCCCGTCAACAGTAACCGGACGGGGTATCTGGAGGAGTGTGAGGTGGCTTCACCCACACAGTACTTCTTCTACCGCGAGACGCTGAACATCTCGTCCTCCATCGATGAGAACGGAGGCATTCACATGGGCCAGGCGCTGTGTCTCCTGCTGGCCTGGATCATAGTCTACCTGTTCATCGTCCGAGGGGTCAAATCTACCGGAATGGTGAGACTAAACCGTCTGGTTCTCAACTGGTGACTAACAGCAAAAGAAGTAAACAGAAACAAACAGGATTTGTTGGATTTTGTTGCTGTTTCAAAGCAGCTTTATATGTTTTTATGAAGTGTATGATGGTATATGATACCGGTCAAACGTTAAGTTTTTTTTTTTTTTTTTATGTTTTTGAAAGAAGTCTCTTCTGCTCACCAAGGCTGCATTTATTTGATCAAAAATACAGTAAAAACAGTAATACTGTGAAATATTATTACAATTTAGATTTACTGGTTCCTTTTGTAATATATTTTGAAATGTAATTTATTCCATGTGATCAAAGCTGATTTTTCAGCAACATTACTCCAGTCAGAAATCATTCTAAGATCATTTCTTATTAATATCAATGTTGAGCTAATTTAATTTATTTACTTTTTTTTAATTATGATACACTGCCATTCAAAGTTTGTGGCAAGTAATATTTAAAAGAAGAAGAAAAATAAATAAATGGCACATTAAATTGATCAAAAAAGGCATTTATTAAATGAATAAATATTACAAAAAAATTCTATTGATAATAAATGCTGTTCTTTTGAACTTTCTATTCATCAAAGAATCAGTTTCCACAAAAATATGAAGCAGCACAACTGTGTTTAACGTTAATAAAAATAAGAAATGTTTATTTAGCACCAAATCAGCAGATTAGAGTGATTTCTGAAGGATCATGTGACATTAAAGACTGGAGTAATGATGCTTTGATGACAGAAATATTTTAGAGAAACCAGCTAATTTACTAATTTCGTAGTTCCAACCCATTGTACCTTTGACTTTCCTCCACAGGTCGTGTATTTCACAGCTACGTTTCCATACGTGGTCCTGATCATCTATCTGATCCGAGGGGTCACTCTTCACGGGGCCTGGAACGGAGTGAAGTACTTGTTCACACCCAAGGTAAGAAAGTCATTGGTTTCTGAGTGTTGTGTTGTAGTTGAGTGTGCATTTAACACGTGTGTGTTTAGCTGGAGCAGTTGGCAAACCCTCAAACATGGATCAACGCTGCCACCCAGATCTTCTTCTCTCTGGGATTGGGCTTCGGCTCTTTGATCGCTTTTGCCAGTTACAACCACCACAACAATAACTTCGAGAGGCAGGCCGTGGTCGTGTCGCTCATTAACAGCGGCACGTCTGTGTTCGCCAGCATCGTGACCTTCGCCATCTACGGCTTTAAAGCCACCTTCAACTACGAAAGCTGTTTGGAAAGGTGAGACGCCAGCGATGTTCTAGCGTTTAGTCAATCTGTGATTTTATCAAGAGATTCACAAACCTCTTGGGTCCTCAAGTCGCAGAATGAATGATGGTTCTCTCATTATTTTATTCCTTCAAACATTAAATTGAATGTTGTCAGTTTGTTCATTTTATGATCTCTTATCTAAGTTTATTTTTAATAAATGTTTGTTTCGGATGACGTCTTTCAGAATGCTTAGGACATTATGGAAACTAATCAGAGTATCATCCATCAGTTATTCACTGAAGGAAGAGAAGAACATGTGATGTTCTTTAAAAACAAAAATACTGATGGTTTTCAAATCCTAAAACACTCCTTAACCTGTCATTAGACTCATTCATTTATTTAAAATACATTTATTTTATGCTAAGTACACTACAAATACTTTCTACGGAAGCGTATTGCATTCACTTGAAGAAAAAAAATCTACTCGGTTTTTCTGAATTAAAGGAGTAGTTCACTTTAAAAAAAAAAAACTTTTGCTGATAATTTACTCACCCCCATGTCATTCAAGATGTCCATGTCTTTCTTTCTTCAGTCGAAAAGAAATTAAGGTTTTTGATGAAAACATTCCAGGATTTTTCTCCATATAATGGACTTCAATGGGAACCAAACGGTTCAAGGTCCAAAAGACCAATTAATAGTTTTGAACTGTAGCATTTTTACAGTCTTATACCTTAAAAATCACGATTGTGATAAAAGAAAGTATATTAAAATCCAAAAAAAAGTGCAGCATCAATGTATGCGTGTTAAAGTATTTGCCCAATAACCAATGCAGATGAAACTCTTGTAATTTCCCAAGGAAGCTCTTCAGATCAGTTTTCAGAAACCGTGTTCTGTGCTGTTAATGTTGATCCAGGATGAGGCTGTTACTGCTCAACACATTCGATCTGTCTGAGGACACCATCAGCGTTGAGAACGTCAGCTCTTGGATCAGTCATTTGAACTACACTCATCCTGAGAGGTTTGCGGCCATCGCTTCAAAGATCGAAGACTGCAGTCTAGAGGCGGAACTAGACACGGTAAACTCACCACACCATAAGATCAGTGTCCACATGCCTACACAGCGACAGTGATCTATGACGGACCAATTTATTTTATTGTATTTTTTATTTTAGGCTCTATATATTAGTATTTTTGTTTACACTCTTTTTTAGGTTTGTTTTTCTTTTCTACTATTCGCTTGTAAAAGTCCACACAGAAACGCATATTTTCATAAATGGCAATAGGGATGGTAAAATATACAGGTGAAACTCGAAAAATTTTAATATTGTGCAAAAGTTAGTTTATTAGTAATTCAACTTAAAGGATTAGTTCACTTTTGAAAAAAACTTTGCTGATAATTTACTCACCCCCATGTCATCCAAGATGTCCACGTCTTTCTTTCTTCAGTCGAAAAGAAATTAAGGTTTTTGATGAAAACATTCCAGCATTTTACTCCATATAATGGATTTCAATGGGAACCAAATTGTTCAAGGTCCAATTGAGAGTTTCAGTGCAAACTGTTCAAAGGGCTTTAAACGATTCCAGACGATGAATAAGGGTCTTATCAAGGGAAATGATCGCTCATTAAAAAAAATAAAGCCTTGCTCTGTTCTGTGTGACTCTTCTGTTCGAACTCATTTATCAAAATGAACAAATCTTTTTTCGACTCATTTTGTTCATTTTCAACCAAATGACTGAAAAAAAGATTCGTTAATTTTGATGAACAAGTTCGAACAGGAGAGTCACGAACGCGCATCGCAGAAAAGCAAGGCGAACATTTGAGCTTATAAAACTTAAACATTGTTATTTATTTATTAAATGAGCGACCGTTTCGCTAGATAAGACCCTTATTCATCGTCTGGTGTCGTTTAAAGCCCTTTGAAGCTGCACTGAAACTTTTATTTGGACCTTGAACCGTTTGGTTCCCATTGAAGTCCATTATATGGAGAAAATCCTGGAATGTTTTCATCAAAAACCTTCATTTCTTTTTATGATATATTAGTTTCATCACCTTTTAAGTTGAATATCTGAAATAAATGAACTTTTGAACTTTTTCGAGTTTCACTTGTATTTGTATTATCACAAAACTTTAAAGTTAAACAATGTATCAGAAACAGACCATACAAGCAATACAGGTATAAAGAAAACAATTACTTATGGTAAACTGTTCAGTTTTGGATCAAAATTGCTGTGTAGCAATATTTGTGTAAATACAGCACCTGTCAAAAGTTTGGAAACATTACAATTTTTCAAGTTTCTTTGAATTTTCAGCATCATTACTCCAGTCAATAGCATCAGATGATCCTTCAGAAATCATTCTAATATGATGTTTTGCTGCTCAAGAAACATTTATTATAAATGTGTGTGTGTGTGTGTAGGCGGTGGAGGGCACCGGTCTGGCGTTTATCGTGTACAGCGAGGCCATTAAGAACATGCCTCTGTCTCAGCTGTGGTCTGTGCTGTACTTCATCATGCTGCTGCTGTTAGGGATGGGGAGCATGCTGGGAAACGTCACGGCCATCATCACTCCACTGGGAGACCTCAAGTTTCTGTCACGCACACTCAGCAACGAGACCATCAACGGTAAGAAGGTTTCTGCTTTTTTCGAATTCCTATATGAGCGCTTCTCTCGGGTCTAGTCTGGTTTCTGACTGTGTTTCCTCAGGTCTGGTCTGTCTTTTCTGTCTACTTCTGGGTTTCGGCTTCACCAGCCGTTCGGGCAACTACTGGTTCACCATCTTCAATGAATACGCCGCAACATTTTCTCTGCTCTTCATCGTCCTCATTGAAGTCGTCAGTGTGTGTTACGTCTATGGATTGAGAAGGTGAGAAATTCAATGACTCTTTACTTTACAGGCTCCAATGATGAGGGCTGAATTCACTTTAAAAGCACAAACAAGGTACAAATTAGGCTGCAAAACTACAGAGCATTTTATTTTCTTGTGTTTTTCTTAATATTCAGTAAAAGCAGGAATCCTTTCAATGTCAAAATTAATATTTTACATTTTTATGATTAAAAAGCATTGAACATGAGCATTTAAACTCATAATATACTCAGTGTTTCTCGTAATTCTTCACTGTACGTCACATAATCGTCTGTAAATGTGTTCATAAGCTCTGCGCAGTTTGAGGATTATAATAATGCTTGTTAGTATGGTTGTTTTTCATATATACATGTTCATTTAGGAAATGCCTGAACTGAAGTGAGAACGCTTGATGGAAAACAAACAAAACACCTGATTAATATCTCTTCTTGTCATTCCAGCCAAAAGGGGACCTTCACAGAACTTTAGCTGAAGAACTCTGAAGAAGTTTTGAGCAAAGTTTAAAGTTTTGAGCGAACGTAACATTCGTGCAAAGTTATCGGGTTGTTCATTATTTATTCATCATCAATGGATCAAAACTTGAAGCATTTAGTTGGACGTTCTAATGTTTTTTTTAATGTGACTTGTTTTGGAATTTCAGAGAACATTCAAAAGTAACAAACATTCGTGAAATGGAATGTTCTGTTTTCATTAATCAAGAAAAAGCCTTTTTAAAACATTTAAAATATATATATATATATATTTCTTAAATAACTTTCAGAGAGCATTCAGAAATCATGTTTTTATAACTTTATAGGAATGTTAGAAAAATGTTCTCATAACATATATTTGCTAGCTGGGATTCCTGAAATGAAAATGAACACTTGTGAATTAAATTATTGCATCAAACCCTGTATGTGTTATGCATGTTATATCAAAGACAGAAAGACAGATTTTTTTTTTTAAAATAATAATTGCAGCCAGTTAATATAGCAATCACTAGGACAGGAAGATCCTCCAACTAAATATGAATGGCACGAAATTGTACAAAATGTGGAAAAAACTGTGACCTCTTTATTAAGATGCTGACCAATTTCATCACACTGGGAGAAATTGTTGAAAAATACATTAGTTGCTTAAGTTAATATTAAAATGAAAAATTGGAAGAAAGTATTTTTTTTTATTCAGACCAAATATAAAATGTGTCCATATCACCTAAGTGGCCAAATATGATATTTAACCCTTAAAATAGTTTGGACAGATGAGTTTGACTGAAACCCAAACATATATGAATAAATATATATGGGATAAATAAAATATTGCCTATGCTAACGTTATTTTTTCTTCTTTGAACCTTGTGAAACTAAAAAAAGGAAATGATTATTAAGTTTAAATAAAGGCTGCATTGCACAGATTTTCATGTCTCTGATGATTTTGACGTCGATTCTGATTCATTGTTGTTGATCTTCCACAGGTTTGAAAAAGACATCGAGGACATGTTGGGGCATCGGCCGAACTGGTACTGGAAGCTGATGTGGGCCGTGATCAGTCCCGTGCTCCTCATCAGCCTCTTCATCTTCTACATCATTAACTACATCCAGGGCGGGACACCCACATACCAGGCCTGGGACAAAGATCTGGTACGGCACGAGTCAAACTCCAAACTCGCATTGAGTTAAATCGTGCAAATGAAACATGAAACAATTTTACAAATGTAAAATCGAAAGAAACTACAGACTAAAAATGGATTACACCATAAAAAAATCAAATGAAAAAAATATATATTTTTTTTAAATAAAACAATCAAAATATAGGCTAACTATAATAATGACATCATGGAAACAATAAAAACAATTAGAATAAACCACTTGGTGAAATTCAATAAATTATTCATTTTAAAATAAATAAATCAAAACAATCAAAATAAAACACGGTAACACTTTACAATAATGTTTCATTTGTTAACATTAGTTAATGTACAGTATTAACTAACAATGAGAAATACATTTCTTACTGTATTTAATTATCTTTGTTGATGTTATTAATAAGAATCCAGCTGTCTGATCACAGTGCATTTACTAATGTTAACAAGTACAACATTTGATTTTTATAATGTATTAGTAAATGTTGAAAAGATGAATAAATGCTATAGAAGTGCAGTTCATGATTAGTATATGTTATAGTTCACTAATGAATAACACTTTACAAAAAGATTTCATTAGTGAACTACTTTAGTTAACATGAACTTATAATGAACTGCATTTCTACAGCATTTATTCATCTTTGTTCATGTTATTTTCGACATTTACTAATACATTATTGAAATCAAAGGATGTAAATGCACTGAACTAACATGAACAAACAATGCCCAGCTGGATTTGTATTAACTAACTTTTGACAAAGATAAACAAATACAGTAACAAATGTATTTCTCAAGGTTAGTAAATAAATCAACTTAATGTTAACATTGTCATGTGTCGCCCAAATTAATGAAATCATAAAAATGTCAAATGAAAATTTAGCTTATAATAAACTGTTACCACAAGTTACTTAAATCATAAAAATGTAAAATGAAATAAATGGTCTTCAAAGATAAACAAGCTGATAGCATATGGGGCTAGAACTGTGTCTTAAATGCGAGAAAATAATTGATCTGAGAGGAAAAAAAAAATATCTATGTGAACCGAACAATGGTGTAATAAAGACACAATTCTAGCTCCATAATATGAGTGTTTTTTTCTTTCCTCCTCAGGGTAAGTCGGTGGTGAAGGAGTATCCTCTGTACGGCCAGGTCTTCATCGTTCTTCTGCTGGTGTCTTCGGTCAGCTGTGTCCCGATCTCGGCTCTCTACGCCTTCTGTCGGAGGAAGAAGCGAGGAACACCTGTCCCTCAGCAAACACTCAACACAGAGTCCCCCGCCATCTAAACTCAGACTCTGGCGAAACAGACAGGTTTGGGACCAGCTGGAGAAACCATATATTTCTATATCTGACTGATGCTGGCGTTCACGTGTCATGAATACTTACAGGTAGCTATTAGGACTAAAACATTTTTACATTCACATTTCCTACCTACAGAAAATATGAACTTTTTTATTCTTACGGCAACAATATATCATATGATTATATGAACTGATTAATAAGTCAAAAATTATATGAACTGCAGATACATTTCCAAACACTGAATGTCTGGACTGTGAACTACAGCAAATGCAGTATGAAATGGTGTAAAACTATGTGTAAATAACTTTGTAATATTTTAGTAGTAAATTAAATTTTGTAAATGTCAAATCACAATATTTTGTATGCCTAATGAACAAATGAATGAACGTTTCCCCTGTTTCATTATTTTCTCATCTTGATATATATATATATATATATATATATATTATAGAGAGTGAGAGACAGATGTGGTGTATTTGGAGAAATAAGATATCTATATTCTGAGGAATATCAGTGAATTATTGATAATAATCTTAATATTTTTCTTGCCAAAACATAAATTGTATGTTTAATTGGGCTCAATTGAGTTGAAGTCCTGATGAACTGTTTTTCTTGTTTGCCTGCATGCACGTAAAGAAATGTATCTTACTGTACACAGAATCATATCAAAGCACATTATAGTCTTGAACTTGGAGTGTTTTACATTAGCTTTTTTTGTTTGCGTTCTCCTTTTATATTTCTGTAGCCTTTCTGTAATATTTACTTTATTGGTCATCAGCATCTTGAATTTTGAAAATGCATGGATTCAAATAGGCCTAAACAAAGGCTGTGCCGGTAAATTAATCACATTAATAAACAAAAACAAGCTGAAATAAATGTCTAGATTTACAATGTTGCTGAACGTTCAAAGACATGCATTTTCATGTTTCATATTGTTTCTAGGCATTAAAGGGGTGGTAAAATGCCATTTTCACAAGATGTAAATAAATCTGATGTCCCCAGAGTGTGTGTGTGTGTGTGTGTGTGTGAAGTTTTAGCACAAAATACCCCACAGATATTTTTATATAGCATGTTTATCTTCTCCAATCTTCTCGACACTCTGGATTCTGATAGAGGGCCATGGGACTTAGACCTGAGCGCAAAAATGGAGGCTCTAGACCCTTCCAGAGCTGAGATATTGAGATATTTACAATGGCATAAAGCTCTGGAAGGGTCTAGAGCCTCCATTTTTGCGCTCAGGTCTAAGTCCCATGGCCCTCTATCAGAATCCAGAGTGTCGAGAAGATTGGAGAAACTTATTTTTTTGTTTTATTTTGCCTTTATTTTTTGTTCAATTTTGTTTTATTTTGCCTGACCACCACAACGCAAAGCCAACGTGTTTGCTATGCAAGCAGACCGTGGCTGTCTGTAAGTCTGACAATATCAAACGCCATTTTAACATCTGCTCAAAATTTCTTGAATAAAACAGACTCGTTTGAAAAAGAAAATAATTAATAAAAATAGAATAAAAATAGAATAATTGGGCTATGTGGTGATTTGTGACTCTTTTTAACAAAACAACAACAACAAAAATAGCAGAGCAAACATTGAGGTCATAACATTGTGGTTGGTGGCCCTTTGCTCTGTATTGTCAGCAGAATTTGGCCCTTGGTAAAAATTAATTGAGGAAGCCTGCTCTAGACCCTTCGAGAGCTGAGATATTGAGATACCATGTAGCATTTATGCCATTATAAATATCTCAGCTCTGGAACTGGAACAGCTCAGCACTGTCGTTTTTTTGGGGGGGTCGAAATTTTGAGTTTCTCTGATCTTCTTGAAACTCTGGATTCTGTTAGAGGGCCATGGGACTTAGACCTGAGCGTCAAAATGGAGGCTCTAGACCCTTCAAGAGCTGAGATATTGAGATCCACGTAGCATTTATGCCATTATAAATATCTCAATATCTCAGCTCTGGAAGGGTCTAGAGCCCCCATTTTTGCACTCAGGTCTAAGTCCCATGGCCCTCTATCAGAATCCAGAGTTTCAAGAAGATTGGAGAAAAGTATTTTTTTCGCACAAAAAAAAAAAAACAAAACGAAAGGGGTACCACTGTCGTTTTTTTGGGGGGGTCGAAATTTTGAGTTTCTCTGATCTTCTTGAAACTCTGGATTCTGTTAGAGGGCCATGGGACTTAGACCTGAGTGCCAAAATGGAGGCTCTAGACCCTTCAAGAGCTGAGATATTGAGATCCCAGGTAGCATTTATGCCATTATAAATATCTCAGCTCTGGAAGGGTCTAGAGCCACCATTTTTGCACTCAGGTCTAAGTCCCATGGCCCTCTATCAGAATCCAGACTTTTAACAAGATTGGAAAAACTTATTTTTTCGCACAAAAAAAAAACAAAACGAAAGGGGTACCACTGTCATTTTTTTTGGGTCGAAATTTTGAGTTTCTCTAATCTTCTCGAAACTCTGGATTCTGATAGAGGGCCATGGGACTTAGACCTGAGTGCCAAAATGGAGGCTCTAGACCCTTCCAGAGCTGAGATATTGAGATATTTATAATGGCATAAATGCTACGTGGGATCTCAATATCTCAGCTCTGGAAGGGTCTAGAGCCTCCATTTTTGCACTCAGGTCTAAGTCTCATGACCCTCTATCAGAATCCAGAGTTTTGAGAAGATTGGGGAAACTTAATTTTTCACCCGGAAAAAAAAAAATGAAAGGGGTACCACTGTCGTTTTTTTTTCGGGTCGAATTTGTGAGTTTCGTTATCTCAGCTCTGAAAGGGTATAGAGCCTCCATTTTTGCACTCAGGTCTAAGTCTCACAGCCCTCTATCAGAATCCAGAGTTTTGAGAAGATTGGAGAAACTTAATTTTTCGCCCCCCCCCAAAAAAACGTAAGGGGTACCACTGTCGTTTTTTTTTTTTCGGGTCGAAATTTTGAGTTTTGATATCTCAGCTCTGGAAGGGTCTAGAGCCTCCATTTTTGAACTCAGGACTAAGTCTCATTGCCCTCTATCAGAATCCAGAGTTTTGAGAAGATTGGAGAAACTTAATTTTTCGCCCCGCCCCAAAAAAACGTAAGGGGTACCACTGTCGTTTTTTTTTCGGGTCGAAATTTTGAGTTTCGATATCTCAGCTCTGGAAGGGTCTAGAGCCTCCATTTTTGAACTCAGGACTAAGTCTCATTGCCCTCTATCAGAATCCAGAGTTTTGAGGAGATCGGGGAAACTTAATTTTTCGCCCCCCAAAAAAAACGTAAGGGTACCACTGTCGTTTTTTTTTTCGGGTCAAAATTTTGAGTTTCGATATCTCAGCTCTGGAAGGGTCTAGAGCCTCCATTTTTGCACTCAGGACTAAGTCTCATTGCCCTCTATCAGAATACAGAGTTTTGAGAAGATTGGGGAAACTTAATTTTTCGCCCCCCCAAAAAAAACGTAAGGGGTAACACTGTCGTTTTTTTTTTCGGGTCGAAATTTTGAATTTCGATATCTCAGCTCTGGAAGGGTCTAGAGCCTCCATTTTTGCACTCAGGTCTAAGTCTCATGACCCTCTATCAGAATCCAGAGTTTTGAGAAGATTGGGGAAACTTAATTTTTCACCCGGAAAAAAAAAAATGAAAGGGGTACCACTGTCGTTTTTTTTTCGGGTCGAATTTGTGAGTTTCGATATCTCAGCTCTGAAAGGTATAGAGCCTCCATTTTTGCACTCAGGTCTAAGTCTCACAGCCCTCTATCAGAATCCAGAGTTTTGAGAAGATTGGAGAAACTTAATTTTTCGCCCCCCCCAAAAAAAACGTAAGGGGTACCACTGTCGTTTTTTTTTCGGGTCGAAATTTTGAGTTTTGATATCTCAGCTCTGGAAGGGTCTAGAGCCTCCATTTTTGAACTCAGGTCTAAGTCTCATTGCCCTCTATCAGAATCCAGAGTTTTGAGAAGATTGGAGAAACTTAATTTTTCGCCCCGCCCAAAAAAAACGTAAGGGGTACCACTGTCGTTTTTTTTTCGGGTCGAAATTTTGAGTTTCGATATCTCAGCTCTGGAAGGGTCTAGAGCCTCCATTTTTGAACTCAGGACTAAGTCTCATTGCCCTCTATCAGAATCCAGAGTTTTGAGGAGATCGGGGAAACTTAATTTTTCGCCCCCCCCAAAAAAAACGTAAGGGGTACCACTGTCGTTTTTTTTTTCGGGTCAAAATTTTGAGTTTCGATATCTCAGCTCTGGAAGGGTCTAGAGCCTCCATTTTTGCACTCAGGTCTAAGTCTCATGGCCCTCTATCAGAATCCAGAGTTTTGAGAAGATTGGGAAAACTTAATTTTTCGCCCCCCCAAAAAAAACGTAAGGGGTAACACTGTCGTTTTTTTTTTTCGGGTCGAAATTTTGAATTTCGATATCTCAGCTCTGGAAGGGTCTAGAGCCTCCATTTT